TGTGTTTGTGTGCATTGTGGTACAGGGGTCGTCCTCTGGACCACAGGGCGATGTATAAAGATGCTTGGGACAGCGTCTGCCTTCAGTCTCAACTTTCCCTTTTTAGTACAAACTGATCTGCCTCAAAATGTGCCTACAGACTAACTTCATTATATTTATTTCCATATACACAGAAACTAACTCTACAGTAGATAGTTTCATTTACAGGAAATGCAGCTCTACATGTCATTACATGTCTATAGGTTTATAAAAGTTTATGTTACATTAGTAACTGATGATTCTTTGCTAAATATCAGCAGGCAGTTTCCCATTCAAGCCTACTGCATGTCTGCATTTAACCTGTTCTCGGCAATACCAATGGAGGTATTGAGATTCTCAACTCCTGGGTTTTTGGAAAATGTTTTAAGTATATGCCTTTCTGTGTGGAGTTTGCATGTTGTCTCCGTGTTTGCGTGGGTTCTCTCCGGGTACTCCGGCTTCCTCCCACAGTCCAAAGACATAACTCTGAATTAGCCCTGTGACAAACTGGCGACCTGTCCAGGGTGTACCCTGCCTCTCGCCCTATGACAACTGGGATAGGCTCCAGCCCCCCCACCCTGAAAAAGGATAAGCGGAGGAGAATGGATGGGTGGATGGAAAAACAATGTTAACTTGTTACAATGACGTTAAAGCCATAGTAACATAGTAACTGTTAACGCCGCGGGTAACGGTGACCGTTTACTCACCGCATACATATATATTAATGAAACTACATATAAGATAGTATTTTTTTTTTTTAAACTAATGCATTTAGAGATTAATAATTACCACAAATAATAAATGTATCGACGGATGTGTCTCTGAGTCTACAAATTTAAATTGTCCGGTATGCACTTTCAGGAACTATCTGAATGTATCACGTGACGCTGACGAGACTCGTCCATTCAAGTGCTCTACTGTGATTGGTTTAAACTGAGAAATAATTTTACTGAGACGGGAAGAGGAGGCGCCAAACTGGACACGTCCAAATATGTAGTAAATTTAATGCAGTGCAATAACATACACATGTGTGCGATGAAAAGTGTTTTTACTCATTTAAACTTTCTGGTTTTTTTTAACAATCTTATAAGAATTTAACAACGTTGATATTTCCCTTCCTCCCGGTTGCTCCTCAGAATGGTATAGTCCGATGGACCTGCTCAGGAAGAGGCTGCGGGTCAGGAGGACGACGTTTGTTGCTTATTTTCGGCTATTTTCCACATTTTTCGTGCTAATGTGTGCGGCGATTTGGTAGTTTGCTCTCAGCTTTATCTTTTTCCGCCTCCCCGCATAGGGTTGTCATTACTGAAGATTTTATGAGTCTATCTGTGATGCTGAAAATGACGGCTGGGCGTGTTTACGTCCGCTAACCAAATTTGGATGTTTGTGGGTGATCGCAGCAGCTTTACAGGTGAACCGTTAGTTAATGTTTATGTGGATATCAAGAGCCATGCTGTCTGTGTCTATGATAGGTGACTCATTGTAGGCTAAAGGCTAAGAGGAACAGTGCTTGTTTGTCTCTCCGTGAGCCTGACAAGTGACACTCGGGGTTATGGCTTTGAAATTTGTTATGTTCATAGTTTCAGGTGTTTTCGTTAACGTGGACCAACATTGGGTTTGCCAGGGGACAATTTAAAGACTCTATATAAATGAAGGAGCTAGCTTGCTTTACAATTGTATAAGACCCTCTGCCTATTAACACTCCACTTTGTCTATAAAATTTCTTTTTTGATATCTGCTTCATGTTTTTCCACCATCCCTTCCAATGAAGATCTGAGCATCTTCAGCTCTACCTCCTGTCTCCAAACCATACATGAGAGCAGGTCTCATTACCATCTTGTAAACCTTCCCTCTCACTCTTGCTGCTCTCCTGTCTTCACCTCGAGTTAGTTACCCCAGTTATTTAAACCAATCTATCTTCGTTACCTGTGCTCCATCCGACTCTCTTTCATCCACAAACATGTATTCATGCTTGCTTTTACGGATCTCCATTCATCCTCTCTCCAGTATATACTTCCACCTCTGCTGCCACTTCGCAAACGCATGGCACAACATATAAGAGCCACCTCCACGTGACAAGACTCAGCAGTCCATCTGCATCTAAAGGACAAAGGTCACTCTTTCGAAAATGCCAGTGTTCACATTTTGGACAGAGAAGACAGATGGTTTGAAAGAGGAGTAAAAGAAGCCATTCATGTCCACTGTGAGCGACCATCTTTGAACAGAGGCGGTGGCTTACGACACCAACTGTCTGCCATCTATAATCCAGTTTTGAGATCCCTTCCCAGACGCCTTAACGCCCACTCACATCCTGGGCCATATGACCTCAGGAAATCACATGATAGGGTGGGGCTAGGTTTCCCAATGAGCTCACCCGAAACCTTGGCTGATTATGACCTACACCCGTTTTCACACCTTGGCTCATGTGATTGGGTAGAGGATCATTAGGGGGTCCTTTTGTCCCTCTTGGGGGGAAACTCCCACAGGGTTTAAATCTGGGACTCTCCACCCTTAGAACTGAAGAAGCTTCTCGGATGAGAGATGAAACGTCTTCAAGCAACTTAAAGAAGTCCAGACGCTTTTCTTTCCTTAGACTTCCACCTCTGCAGACTCCACTTGCTCACTACGGATCAGTGTCATCTGCAAACTCCTGCCTGACCTCATTCATCAGCCTCTCCATCACCACTGCAAAAAATGTAATCTCACCCCCAACTTGAACCCATCTTTCACTCTTAACACACATCTCCCCACTGTCTTGCTGTCCTCATACATGTCCTGCACGACCTTAACATACTTTTCTGCCACTCCTGACTTCCTCATGCAGTTCCTCTTTTGGCGCCTTAAAATATCCTTTCTCTGATCCATGCAGAGACCGTCAATCTCCTTCTGACCTTTTCTGTACTCCCCCATCAATACTCCCTAAGCACACATTACATCTGTAGAGCTCTTTCTCAGCATGAAGGCATACTGCTGCTACTTAACCTAGCTTCAACAATTCTTTCCCACAGCTTCGTGGTGTGGAGCTCTGCACACCACCCTTGTTCTTGAAGATCACTACCAGTGCACTTCTTCTCCATTCCTCAGGCATCCCCTCACTCTGTAGGACTTAATTACATAATTATTAAGCAATCTTGTTGAAAACTCCACTGGCAATTTTTGATAATGATGGATTTTACTAGTTATGGTAACTGTTAGACTAAGAAAGTTGGTTCATGTGTTTCAGGAGCTTTTTGGTTCTGCATTCTCTCCAATGTATGATCCAAATACATTTGAAGGCAGGTGATTGGATGCAAATTCCTTTCACAGAAGCAAAAATATTAAACATCACGTGCAACAAAAAGGCAAAAATAAAGTAGAATAGTTTGGTAAAATAAAATACAGTAATGGAAGACAAGCTCAGTGTGGTAAAAATTACAAAGAAGAAGGAGGGGGAGAACAAATACTCAGAAAGAGCTTGGTGAATAAAAATCTGTTGTGATATGTAACATATGTAAGATGTGTCTGTTTGTGGCAGCAGAGCTGAGCTATCCTGATGTAATACAGATGCTTCTGTGTCAGATAAAACTGTTAGCTGACTGATTTCTCCTATCTGAGTGCACAGCGTGAGGTCTCTATCTCTGCACTTTCATCTTCTTCTCGTATATTTTGAATAACCTCCTTTTCTTCCCTGCAGAGGTCACTTCTCCATCATTGCGTTCCGCCTCGTCCGGTTCTGTTGCCAGTCAGCTCAGCGGCCGCTCAATGCCTAACACCTCAGAGGGTCAGGGAACAAACCTGTCTGGGTCTGTGGAGCCATCAGGGCTGCAGCGGACCGCAGACAGGGAGGAGGAGCACAGCCTGATTCGGTCCCTGGCCCGGGATGCCGCGAGGGTGAGGCGGGCTTCTAGTGCTGAGCTCCACCTGCCGTGGACCTGCCCGGTCACGCACTCCCGTGAGAAGTTCTACACAGTCTGCTCTGATTATGCCCTCTTAAACCAGGCTGCCTCCGTGTACTGCCCCCCAAACGCAGGCAGGGACGCGCTCTCGAAGAAGCAGGATGACAGATCCCCACGTGTAAAGCCCAAACCCTCCACAGAGCTCAGTGCCGCACACACTGGAGGTTCCCATGGGGGGGCAGGCGAGGACTGTGACATGGAGGACGTGTCCACGCCTATTTTGGCCTGGGAGATTGACACGGCAGACTTCAACACTGCATATACAAGGAAAATAAGAGCAAGTAAGAAAGGTCTGGAAGCGAATTTAATCAGTTTGGTTTACATGATGTCACACTTTGATGTTTTTTTTGAAACACTTTTTCAGGCAATGGTAAGAAATGCGGCGCTAAGAAGATGAAGTCATCCGACAGACCCAGCAGGAACCTGCAAGATGTCCCTCCTCACGCCTCACTGGAGGAGATCAAACAGAGGAAAGTGCTCGACCTCAGAAGATGGTAATGTTATATTTAGCCTCCATTTTCATTTCCTCCATTTTCGTGCAGTGACTTTTACAGAAAGGAAAGCAGAGACCACCCCCTCCATCTCCTTGTACACACAAACAAAAAACATCTCTCTTTACTATTTACTCACTATTTAACAAGATAAACTGGATCAGATTAAAACATGCCATTCATGCTGTCTATCTGCTCTCTACATGGACATCTTCACATTTTTGTATCTACTATCTGTTTAGAAAAAGAACCAATAAAATGCTATGAAAACACCTCAGTATACATTAAAACTGTTTTACTGGAAAGTTGTGCCCAAAATATCAAAAGTAAAAATAATCACTCTACAGAATAATGTTCTCTCTCGGTGTTAAATTGTGTATTATTTATATTACCTTAAACATATAACTGCTGTGTATGTTTAAGGTTGAAC